GCTCAACATCCTGGTGCACGCGATCATAGGCGTCCAGGCACGTCTCCCTCATTGGAAGCCCTTTCTCACCGAGGCGTGGGGAGTGGCGAGGGCCTGGAAGCGGTCTCAGCCACCTCGCCTTCGGCCGCCAATGCCACGAGCGCTCTTGCGCGCTATGGTGGCAGTTTGTTTCACTTGGGACTGGCCAGTCATGGCCGCCTTGCTGCTGGCAGGGTTCACGATGTCCTTGAAGCCCGACGAGCTGCTGTCAGCCCGTCGCTGTGACCTTTTGTTGCCTTCGGATTGCCTTGAGTCCTCAGGCAACGCTTGGATGACCATTCCCGATCCAGTGAGCAGCATGTCTTACCCGCCACAGCACGCCTGGTGCTCTGACAAAGCGGTGGTTCGGGTTTTGGAGATGGTCTTTCGGCATTTGGGTCCCACCGATCCTCTGTCGACCTTTGGTCAAAGCGGCTTCCGTACTCGGTGGAACCATTTACTTTTGGCGTTAGGCGTACCGCTCGCCGAGACGCCAGCGGGGTTCCACTTGACCCCTGCTTGCCCCCGCGGCTCAGGCGCGACAGACTTTCATACGGCCACAGAAGATATTGGTCGTATCTTCTGGCGTAGTCGCTGGCGCCAGGCGTCTAGCGCGGAGCGCTTCTTGCACGACGATGCTTCCGCCGCGATGCTTTCCGCCTTGCCTGATGCCGCTCGGGCCCGTGTCACCTACTTCGATGGCGCGAGCGACTTCCTTGTCGCTTCCTTTCTGAACTGTGGCCCCACTGCGTGGCCCCTTCTGCTCGCGGCCGCCCGCCAAAACCTTGTCACTTCGCAAGGGCTTTGAGCCTGGGTATGGCTGCTACGGCCACCTGGCCGTCCAGATGGCCTCGTTGGACGAGGTCGTCTGAGGGCGCCGCACGGCTTGGGCGCGGCGCCCCGTCATCCTTTACGGGTCGCCGCGCGCGCGCCGCGCGCCCGCCTCCGGGACCTGATCGCTTGCGCTGCGTGCGGGAGAATGCGCTTCTCTATTCTCCTTGCCGCTCGCGCCCGTTCAGGTCCTGCAGCTTCTCGGCCCCCTCCCCCCCTCCCCGCCTTACTCAGGCAGGCCTGCGGCGCTGCTACGGCCACCTGGCCGTCCAGATGGCCTCGTTGGACGAGGTCGTCTGAGGGCGCCGCGCGGCTTGGGCGCGGCGCCCCGTCATCCTTTACGGGTCGCCGCGCGCGCGCCGCGCGCCCGCCTCCGGGACCTGATCGCTTGCGCTGCGTGCGGGAGAATCATCATCATCATCATCATCATCAGCATCAGCATCAGCATCTGCATCATCATCAGCAGCATCACCATCATCATCAGCATCGTCATTGTCGACGTCGACATGGACGTCATCGTCATCGTTATCGTCGACATCATCCTCCTCACCCTCGTCCTCATCATCATCATCATCAGCAGCAGCAGCAGCAGCATCACCATACTTGGCATCGTCATATGCGTACTCCTCATCATCGTCCTCATCTGTATCATCGTCATCATCATCAGCATCAGCATCATTATCATTATCATCACCAGCATCAGCAGCAGCAGCAGCAGTGACACCATTATCGCCATCGTCAGTATCGTGCCTCTGCTCCCCGCATGTGCACCATTTCGGAAAACCTCTCGCACGTTTTGTGGCCCCATCGAGAGTTCCGACGAAGGCCCCAGTGACAGGGTCCGAATACAGCCCCCCGCCCGTGTCGGTACACCCCCTTACACGCTTCGTGGCGCCATAGGAGGGAGCCTCACCGAAGGCCGCAGTGACGGGGTCCGCATGCGTCCACCCGCCCATTTCGGTACACCCCTCACACGCTTCCTGGCGCCAGAGGGAGCTCCACCGAAGGCCGCAGTGGCAGGGTCCGCATGCGTCCCCCTGCTCACGTCGGCACACCCCGCACACGCTTCGTGGCGCCATAGGGAGCTCCACCGAAGGCCGCAGAGACAGGGTCCGCATGCGGCCATCCGCCCATTCCGGCACTCCTCTCACACGCTTCGTGGCCCCATATGGAGCTCCACCGAAAGCGATGGCCACACCGCGGCACTCACAACTTCATGTGGTTGGGTCCTTCCTCAGGATAATTGCATCGTTTCCAATTGTGCCTCGTAACTTGCCCTTTTGGCATATTGTATTGTTTTGTCTGCGCGCGCATTGGCAATCACCAATCGGTAATAATGCACCAACATGCAGCATGTAGAAGCGCGCAGCAGGGAATGGCAGACACGATCAAGCATGGAGTTGGCGGCAGCAGCGGGCAGCAGGTGCACCAGACAAGCCTTTTTGGAGAGAGTGTCGAGCTCTTACCGTGCGTTGCCTGTCAGTCGCTGTCCCACCCCTGGGAGTGCGCGCCAGAGCTGGAGACGTCGTCGGTGTCATAACGGCGGCGTTGGTGTCGTACGGCGGCCACGGCGGCGACGACATCCTCAATGGTTTCGTCCCCCCCATTGACCATGGGTCGCAGTTGCGTGTTTGAGACCGTTTCCAATATCGGGGGTGGACAGAACCCCCAACAGTGACACGTCGATTAGTGAATTGTCCGTTTTCGGTTCTCGAGAGGGCGCCGTGGCCGTTATTTTCCAGTCCTGCGCCCGCCAGGTTTGGGCCTCAGGTCGTTTTCACTAAACCACGTTTTACTAAAGGGAGGTCTGCCCATCCCCGACAATACGTTCCCACTAAGTTTTCCACGCGCTTCAAGCGCCCCCCTTCTGCGGGTCGGACAGCTGCACCTCCTGCCCGCTGCAGCCGCCAGCGTCCTCCCGTGCTGCCTGGTGCTGCCACAGCGCCGTGTTCAATGCATGCTCCGCGTGCGGATCATGTATTAAAAATGCACGGATTTAGTATCAAAAACAGCGAGGAGCTCACGCACAAAATGTTACACATATATATATAATTCTGCATTAAAAATTCTACATTTCAGAAACATCCTATGTATTAAAACCTGCGCTGTACTGCCTGCTGCTACTGCCTGCTGCTGCTGACGCCCGCTGCGCCGCCCCGTATGCATTCTCATCGGCACTCTCGTGCTGTGCCCAAAGTTCACCACACCGTCGTTTTATAGCTTCATGGGGGGCGTTTGTTCTTGTCGTTTCCTGTTTGCGACGATTCATTTTAACACAGTTTCCACATGTTCGTGCGAAAACGTTTTGGCACAGTTCCCGGGTTCGGTTTTTATCGTTTCCAGGTCCCCGCTCTTGATTCACAAGACGTGAGTTGGAAACTATGAATCAACGCCCTAGGCGCTTCCAAGGCACGCGAAACTACTGGATTCGGTCATGGGTGTTTCTGGGGCTCCTCGGGGGATTATTGGGTTGGGGGACTCTTAGGGGCCCGGTTTGGGCCCCTCTGTGGTCTCCTGGAGCTTGTGCGAGACTTCTTGAGGGTATATGGTGGCGGTCTCCGGGGCCATCGGGCGAGGAGGGAGGGAGGGAGGGAGGGAGGGAGGGAGGGAGGGAGGGAGGGAGGAGGAGGAGGAGGAGGAGGGGGAGGAGGAGGAGGAGGAGGAGGAGGAGGAGGAGGAGGGAGGAGGGAGGGAGGGAGGGAGGAGGAGGAGGAGGTATTCCCCATTCCCTTGTTGCCCTGGTAGGCCGTCCTGGGAGCCTCTTGGGTCGTCTTGGGGCCATCCAGAGGCGCTCTTACGGGCCTCTTCTGCCGTCTTGGAGCGAGGTTCGGGGCCTTTTGGGCCGTCTTGCTCGAGGCCCTCTCAGCCCATCTGGAGATCATCTTGCCCTTGGAAAAGTCACGCAACCGACCGCACGAGTATCTCGGGGCGCCAAGACGATTTTGAAGTCTTGACCACTCGGCCCCTGCTCGTATATTTAATATGTTGTACTCGTTTTAAGTCGGGCCTGTCCCTCGACAGGGGGAATAGCCACAAATTGTCAAAACATAGTCTGGGGACGATCTTTTGACATTTTTTGATCTTTCGGGAGTTTGTTTGGGGACTCTTTATTTTTCGTCCAAAATCCCCCAGTAGGTGGACACGCCCGACTTCATATTCGTTACGAAGAACTCAGAGGCCTGGAAGCTCTTACTCGTGCCTCAGGGCACGGTGGCGGATAACATACGCTACGTGCCAGAAACAACTGCATTGTTTGACATCGGCTTCGGTCTGGAAGCAGCGCTGGCAAGGGGCTCGATGGGCGTGCAGCACGGTAGTAAATTAGCGGATGCGGGCTCCTACTATCCACGGGCATGGCCTAACATGCTTTCAGAAGAGCGGGAGGCTCTGGCGAAAGGTCTCAGCAACGAGCCATCAGTGGCTCTCATCTGCCGTGCCTTCATGCAGAAGTTCGCCCGGCGCATATGGTGATTGTTGTTTGTCGCCATATGCAATTATGTGCCAGTAACCACCCGCCGCACACCATCAGTGACATGTGAATCAGTTGTAGTTCAGAGGTTCGCACAAGTCGAACATTATGAGCGAGGCGCCTGCAGCTTCCACGGTAGCCATCCTTCAAGTGATCTTGGCGAGAGACCCCCCGAACAAAAAGAACAAAGAGACATGCATCAGGGCTCAAGCTTAACGGTGTTTTGGCAATTCCGTGGGCCGTTTTCTTTTTGATGTCGTTACGCAGCAAAGGCGGAAACGAAGAATATACACCTCATGGACAACGACAACTAAACGATAACCGAACGCACTTAGCTCGAGCCCTGGCTTGCATGGCAAGACTCTGGCTGTGTGCATTGTGCTGCCAGCACCGCCCCCCGGTGCGCGCGCCGAGCCTCCCCACTCGAGAGATGTGGTCCTCAGTGGCCCCGCCGAGCTGTGCTTCGCAGCTCACCAGCCTTCGGGGGAAGAGCGCGCCCCTGCTCGCCCTCGCCGTGGCGCGCGCGCGCGCCCCCCCCCCCCCAAGAAAACAGAAGTGCCTCCGCTGCTGCTTTTCGGGCCGCGCCTCGGGAGGGCTGCTCCGTCGCCCCGGCGGTGTGGTCTGCCTGGGGCGACGTCTGCTGGGGGGGCGGCCCGCGGTCTGCGGGCCGGGCGCTGGCCAGGTCCTGCAGCTCTGCGTGAACTACGAGCTGTGGGATGCCGCCTCGGCGCCTCTGCCGCGTCGTCGCGTGTTGTGGGCGCTGATGTCTCTGTTGCTGTTGCCCGTCGTCGTCGTCGGCGCATGCGGGCGTCGGCGTCGTCGTTGTGTGTTTGGGGGGCCTCCTGAGGGTCTCGTGCCATGGCTGGGCGCAGCTCGTGAATCCGGCAAGGAGGAATCTCGGATCGATTCGGAGCGGCAATCGTTGTCGTCGGTGGTGGCGCGTCTGAAGTGTCAGCTCTCGATCTCTTACGTTCACGATGAAGAAGTATAAAGCGACTCCGGTGAGTTGTGATATGTTTCGGGCATCTTGCGATTTGTTAGCAAAACAGAGCATTCGGAGTGAAAATCCATGTTTGGCGACAAAGATGGGTCCAGCACCTGTTTCGCTCATGGCCCCTCGTGCCTGCAATGGGGACAAACGCCAACAAACATCGATCTCAGTGATATGGTTGATTCTTCGCGGACCCCGACAAGCCCATCCAGAAACGATCCCCAGGCGAGTTGCCGTGCTCAGGAAAGCGTAGGAGCGTGTAGCAACACACATCATGGGGCGTGCCACTGGCCCATCACTTCACATTCCCTGTCGCATCTTCTTTCCTAAGCTTGCGTCCGCTTGGACGAAGCGACAGTCTTCATGATTGATGCTGCTTTAAAGGCAGCGAAGAGGTACGAACATATCAGCAGCCAACAATGTAGACATTCGATTATTGAAGCCCTGTTGAGGTCTTCTGGGAGCCCTCTCTTATGGCCGTTCTAGAAGCATTGGAGGTAATGGAGGAACAACTTGGCAAGGCCATCGTGGAACAGCGTCAGAAAGATTACCCCTGGGGGCCGACCCGGGCCGCTCTTGGAAGCCGTTGTGCCCGTCTTGTTGCATTGCGTTCTTTCTATTGCGAAGGCCTTACGGCCGGTGCCGCCGACCCTGAAGACGACGAGGGGGGAGGAGGAATAGGAGGAGTGGGAGGAAGAGGGGGACGGAGGAGATGAGGAGGAAAAGGCAGAGGAGGAAGAGGCAGAGGAGGAGGAAGAGGGAGAGGAGGAGGAGGAGGAGGAGGAGGAGGGGGAGGAAGAATAACATTAGGAGTACGAAGAGGAGGAGGCGGAGGAGGAGAGGAAGGAGGAAGGGAGGACGAGGAAAATGAGGAGGAGAAGGAGGATGAAGAAGAGGAGGGGGAGGAAGGGGGTGGACAGAGGCGATGAAGAGAGAAGCAGAGGAGGGAGGAGAGGAGGAGGAGGAGGAGGAAAGGAGGAGGAAGAAGGAGGAACAGGATTAGGAGTACGAGGAGGAGGAGAAGGGGGAAGGAGGAGGACGAGGAGAAGGAGGAGGAGGAGGAGGAGGAGAAGGAGGACAAGGGAGCAAGAGGGGAAGGAGGAAGAGAAAGGATGAGGGAGATGAGACCGAAGAGAAGGAGGAGGACGTGGAGGAGGAGCAGGAGGAGGAGGAAGAGGAGGACAAAGAAGATTAGGAGGCGAATAATAATCATGAAGAAGAGAAGGGGGAGGATGACGGGGGACGGAGGAGAGGATGAGGAAAAGGAGAAGCGAGAGGAGGAGAAGGAGGAGGGAGGAGGGGAAGCATGAGGAGGAGGAGAAGGAGCAGGAGCAAGAGGAGGAGGAGGAGGAGGAGGAGGAGGAGAGGAGGAGGAGGAGGAGAGGAGGAGGAATAGAATAGGAATAGGGATAGGGAGGAGGAAGAGGAGGAGAGGAGGAGGAGGAGGAGGAGGAAGAGGAAGGAGGAGGAGCAGGAGGAGGATAGGAGGAGGAGGGGGGATAGGAGGAGGAGGAGCAGAAGAAGGAGGAGGAGTTGGAGGAGGACGAGGAGGAGATGGAATAGGAGGGGGAGGAACAGGAGGAATAGGAGGAGGAGAAAGGGGAGTAGGAAGGGGCTCTTGGAGGCTGCCTGGTTCCCGGGGGCGAGGAAAGACACGAGGAGGGGGAGCAAGGGGGAAGGGAGGAGGGAAGGAGGAAAACGAGGAGGAGGACGAGGGAAGGAGGAGGGAAGGAGGAGGATATGAGGAGGACGAGGAGGAGGATGAGGAGGAGGAGGAGGAGGGAGTCGTTTCGGGAGCAAAGGGGGGCGGAGGAGGGGAAAGGAGGAGGAGAAGGAGGAGGAGGAGGAGGAGGAGGGAGTCGTTTCGGGACCTTTTAGGGACCTATTGGGGCCTCTTGGTAACGTCTTGGGGGTCTCCTTGGGCCTCTTGGGGGCGTAAGGGGTCTCCTGAAAGCTTCGTTGGGGCGCCAGGCTCGAATTGTCGTTTCGGGCTTCCCGTCTTGAGCCCTTGTGAAGGCCCTCTTTGGCCAGTCTTGGGAATCCCTTGGGCCGTCTTGGGCGACCGTTGGGAGCTTATTGAGCCGTCTTGGAGCTGTCTTTGGGGCGTCTCGGACTGAAGTGACCGCGGTGAAGGCCGAGCAGTCGTACATGCTGAAAGTGAACGCTTTCGTATGGGAAATCTATGGATGTGGCATGTTGAGGCTTCTTGGGGGTGCTCTTGGAGGCTCCCTGGGACGGCTGGGAGGCTTCTTGGACCGTCTCGGGATCATCTGTGGCGTATTGAGGCGATCTTGGATCGAGTTGGGGCTCTCTTGGCCGTAATTATTGCGCGCCGTATGTAGCATTCTGGGCTCAGTTTGGGACTATTGGAGATTTCCGGGCCGCCCGGGAGGAAAACGAATCCGGGTGGCGACCTCCCCGGACCCCCCCCCTATTACCCGCCCCGGACCCCCCCCCCGCGCGGGGAAGGGATCAAAGGGCAGGGGCTTCCCTTCGAAACTACAACGGCGTCAGAGGAGGGCCCAGGGAAAGAGAGGAGGGACGGCGGAAACGACGACGAGACGACCGTGACCGCGACGGAGACGACGAGGAGACGACGACGACGACGACTCGAACGAGGAAGCCCCTCGCACACGCCGACAGGGTCGGCGGACTTATCGATGATGTATGTTGCTATCGCGGTGTCGTATTGAGGCATCAGAAAACCATCAAAATCGAAACCACCACGACATACGCTCGAGCAGATCTTATGTTGTGCATGGGATTGGGCTTGTTGGAGTCACCGCTGGGAGGCCAAACGGCCATGTGGGGCCGTCTCGCGGCGATCTCGAAGCCTATGACAGGCGTGTTGGATGCAATGTTGAAAATTTGAAGGCTGTCTGCAGGCAGCTTGAAGCTACATTGGATCTAGAAGGACCCTCTGGGGCCCTCCCGTCCAGACCCATGGGGAAGGGGGGGGAGGAGAAAACTTCCAACGAGAAAGCCTCGAGCTGTCCCGCTCACTCCCACCCACCCTCCCTACACATGAGTTGTACCCGAGACTCTTCGCAGGCAGCGGTCGCAGCACAAGCACAGCCTTCGGCAACCAAAACTAGTGGTCTTCGGTCCGTCCGTATCGTGCCTGGGTTGTAGATCAGAGGCCTCTGGGATGCATGTGGGGATCTCTTGGGAGGACTCTCGGAAGACTCTTGTATTCGGTTTTGGAGTGTCTTGGGGGCCTCTCGGGGGTCTCTTGGGGGCCTCTCGGGGCCTGATTTGGGCCTCTTGGGTGGGGGCCTCCTGGAGCTTGTGCGGGGCCTTTTGGGGGCCTGCTGGCGGTCTCGGATGCCATCTTGGGGTGAAGGGCTCGAAATGTCGATTCGTGGTCCTCATCTGGTGCCTCTCTTGGGCCCCCCTGGGGCCCTATTGGGCTGTCTTGGGAGCCTTTTGGGCCGTCTTGGGGCCATCTTAAGCCGTCTGGGGGCATCTTGGGCCGTCTTGCGTCCAAAGCCTGGAAAGGCGAGGACACGACAATCCGCCACGGGTGTTCACCCCCGATGCCTCCTGCTTTCCGCGGCGCACGCCCGATCCTCAGCCTCGTGGCTCGGGACTGCTGCTGGCAGAGCCGAGCGTCGCTCGGGCGTGTCTAGCGGTTCCCCGGCAAGAGCCCTCGAGGAGCTCGTTGGGCCACCTCGCGGGGCAGACGCGCGCGAGGCCGCAGCGTCGCTTGGGCGTGTCTATCGGCTCCCCGGCAGGAGCCCTCGAGGAGCCCGTTGGGTTAAGTCGGGCCTGTCCCCATGGGGATTTTCGACGAAGAATAAAACATACCCCAAAAATAAGCAAAACAAAATCCAAAAATAGTCTGGGGACTATGTTTGGAATCTCTTTTGGCCTTTCTGGGGGCACGCCCGACTCGACCCGCGGGGCCACCTCGCGAGGCAGAGGCGCGCGCGCGAGGCGCCGCGGAAGCACGCGCCCGAGAGGCGCGCACGCGCGGGCGCGCTGGCGCGGGAGGAGGAGGAGGAGGAGGAGGAGGAGGAGGAGGGCGGAGGAGGAGGAGGAGAGGAGGAGGAGGAGGAGGAGGGAGGAGGGAGGAGGGAGGAGGAGGAGGAGGAGGAGAGGAGGAGGAGGAGGCGGAGGAGGAGGAGGTGGCGCGGAGGCCGCCACGGCCTGGCTCTCTCCCCGCAAGCGCGCGCCGGAGGGGGGCGGCGGAAGGCGGCGAGGCGCCTCGGGCGCGGGGAGAGCCGTGGGCCCTCGAGGCGAGCCCTCGGGCCTCCAGGGAGCCCCCTCGAGGCCTCGAGGCCTTCGAGCCTCTGGGGCCTCGAGCCCCTCGAGCCGCCAGGGCCTCCGGGGCCTCGAGCCCTCCGAGCCTCCAAGGATCCCCTCGAGGCCTCGAGGCCTTCGAGCCTCCGGGGCCTCTTCGATATCTCGAGCCCTTCGAGACCTCGAGCCCTTCGAGACCTCGAGCCCTTGGAGACCTCGATCCCTTCGATGATCTCTTCGGCCTTCGGCCCGCGGGCCCCCTCGGCCCGCGGGCCTCCGGGCCTCCGTCCGCCTCGTTCCCTCCGGAGCCTGCGCCTCGATGCCTTCCGATGCTCCGGCCCTCGGGTGCGCGGGCCGTCCGTCGAGCCCTGCTCCGGAGGGAACCAAAACACACAGACACAGTGAATCCTCGACTCCCCTGGAAAATAGGGAACACATGGGAAGTGGGGGTGGGAGACAAAGACCCGGAAGACATGGGAAGAGATGCGGAGTCCGGTTATCTGTGTCTATCCACTTGCGTGTCCCAGGGCCCCTTCACCTGAGCCTGCCCAAGGACAAGCGGGACGTGGACAAGTTCGGCGAGCAGTTCGCGGAGCCCGCCTGAGGGTCGACGGGGCCCCGGGGGCGTCGTGGCGGAGATCGTGGCGAGGCGCGGTCCCTCGGCTTGCTCGGGAGGGCAGGGGCAGCGCAGAGAGAGGGTTGAGGAGGGGAGGCAGAGGAAAGGGGAAAGAAAGAGAATGAGGAGGAGGAGGAGGAGGAGCCTTGAGGACAGGCGAATGAATCAATCGATACATTCAGGGTCGATGTCCGCTTGTGCTTCATGGGCAGGGTTGGGTAATGCTCTCCCTGCACCTCGTGGTTGCGAAGGTCTCGACGGATGGTGAGAAAAAAGAGGAAGAGGAGGAGGAGGAGGTGGAGGAGGAGGAGGAGGACGGATGACAGCAAGGAATGAGGAGGATTAGCGGGAGGGTAGAGAGAGGGAGGAGGCCGAGGAGGAGAGTGGGGGAGGAGGAACCGGGGGAGTTGAGGATTGGATTTTTCCTCCGTTACTTCCTCGTACTGATCCCCATCACCATCATTGTCATCATCCCCATCGTCATCATAATCATCGTCGTCGCCGTCGCCGTCGCCAGCGTCATTGGCATCACCATCAGCATCACCATCAGCATCAGCAGCAGCAGCATCATCATCATCATCAACAACAGCATCCATAGCTATGTTTGGGGAGGCAACATGTTACCGATGACACTACTCCCCAGACGTCTCCCAAGGTGCGATATGACGAGACTGTCGTAGCGAATCCACCCGTGGCGACGATGAGTGGCGGCGGTATGGGTAGGATGTTGGGGGCTGAGATCTCAGTGGAACGGAGAGTGCCCCCCCCCCCCCGCGAAATCGGTTTGGGTTTCGTTTTCGCGTCGTGCATGCGGGCGAGGCGAAGCTTCATGGGCAGGGTGAGGGGATGCTCTCCTTGCACCTCGTGGTTGCGAAGGTCTCGACGGATGGTGAGAAGAAAGAGGAAGAGGAGGAGGAGGAGGAGGAGGAGGAGGAGGAGGAGTTGGAGGTGGAGGAGGAGGAGGATGGACGACAGCAAGGAGTGAGGAGGATTACGTAGCGGGAGGGTAGAAAGAGGGAGGAGGCCGAGGAGGAGAGTGGGGGAGGAGGAACCGGGGGAGTTGAGGATTGGATTTTTCCTCCGTTACTTCCTCGTACTGATCCCCATCACCATCATTGTCATCATCCCCATCGTCATCATAATCATCGCCGTCGCCGGCGCCGGCGTCGGTGGCATTAGCATCACCATCAGCATCAGCATCATCATCATCATCAACAACAGCATCCATAGCCATGTTTGGGGAGGCAACATGTTACCGATGACACTACTCCCCAGACGTCTCCCAAGGTGCGATATGACGAGACTGTCGTAGCGAATCCACCCGTGGCGACGATGAGTGGCGGCGGTATGGGTAGGATGTTGGGGGCTGAGATCTCAGTGGAACGGAGAGTGCCCCCCCCCGCGAAATCGGTTTCGGTTTCGTTTTCGCGTCGTGCATGCGGGCGAGGCGAAGCTTCGTGGGCGCGCGAGAGGAATGATCCCGCCATCGTTAGGGGGATTCGGATACAAAAGTCCTGTCCTTGTCCCGCCGTGGTGTTTCGCGGTGTCCCGATGGTGTCCCGCAGTGTCTCGCCGTAAACGCGCGAGAGGAATGATCCCGCCGTCGATACGGCGATTCGGATGCAAAAGTGCGGCCCTCCGGTGGGCGCGCAGTGGCTGGGGGTGTCCCGCCGTGGTATGCCGCGTTGTCCCGATGGTGTCCCGCGGTTTCCCGCCGTGGTGTCCCGATGGTGTCCCGATGGTGACTCGCGGTGCCCCGTGGCGTCCCGTGGTGTCCCGCGGTGTCCCGGTGGTGTCCAAGTGATGTCCCGTGGTGTCCAGTGGTGTCCCGCGGTGTCCCGCCGTGGTGTCCCTATCGATAGTGATGTGGATAGTGGTATCGGTAACGACCGAGATGTGGCGGGATCGGTAGTGAGATCGATAGTTGGGTCGATAGTGACGTCTATAGTGGGATCGGTAGTTGTAGCCATCGCGGGCACGGCCGAAATATTACTAGACGGATCGAGAGTTGCGTCGTCGACCGTGCAAGCGACCGTGAGGTCGATCGTGAGGCCGACGGTGTCTTGACCGTACCCAGCACCACGCAGTATGATATCGCTATCGGGACCGATCGCTGGACCCATCGATACTACGATTGGCCGTGAGGTCGATAGTGAAATCGGTCGGGTGAGATGGATAACGTAGTCGGCAGTGGCATCACCTCGCGGCGCAACATCGCCATCACGCGTCGTCATCACTTCGGGGGCGCGCCACCAATATCGTCATCATCACGCCCAGCGCATTTGCCAGCTGCGTTTTCTTCCCAACCCCCCAATGTCCTGATTACCCGAAGTGTTGCCGCAAGTGTGTCAACATGCACACATGTATATATATATATATATATATATATATATATATATATGTATATACAGTTCTCTTCCGACTGCGGGCTCAAGTTTGAGGCGGTGGCCTGGCGCTGTCCGCAATTGAAGGCCAGGTCCGAGTCCCGCGAACCTAGCGGTTGTGAAGACATGTGCCCCAAGTTTGCGCATTTGCTGTTAGCCCGTCAGCATTCTGATACGCCATGGCAATCGATTTGGCAAGTATACAGCAGGTGGTGGGTAGCCACTCCAAGGAGACAGTTGCCCTGATTTGGCCACTCCAAGACGACCCAACGCTCGCGGGATTGGGCGGCACATTACAGCCCAAGGCCCGCATTTGCAGGACATGCCGTCCAAGTTCGACGAAACCCATGCAACTTCTCAGGAACAGCAGGTCGTAATTGGTACTCAAGTACCAGTTACTAGTCACGTGTTTCGCCAGCTGCCTGCGCAGAAGGACGCGCATGAAATTGGCGCCCACTTGCGTCTATGATCGAACTCCAGGGGGGAAGGGGTGTACAACGGGCAGTTGTGGTTGCTGAGGCAAGTCTCGACGAAAATCTTCGTCCGCTTGTGACACGACTCGAAAACCGAATTGTGGCACCACGGCTGGGCAGCGCCGCTCGCGGGATTGCGGCGGCGCGCGCCACGTCAGCGCAGGCGCGCGCAACCGTGCCCGCGCTCATGACGCTCCCAGAGGAGTGTTTATTTCGCTTTTCCCTCCACGGCCATGGCCTCCGACTTCGCGGAGAGCGTCCGTCGGTTGAGTTATGGGTGCGCTATGGCCAGCTTTCGCGACCCCAACGGTCGTGGCCCTTTCGTGCCAGGCGTAACCTTGATGCCCGAAGTTGGCTGCCAGTGTTCAACGCGGGCCCTGTCCCCTTGTTCCGCCTGACGCGTTGCTCGAGCACTTCTCATGCAATTACTGTTGCGCTTGATGAGGCCCTTTCAGCTGGGCTTGTCTCAGAGGATTTGCGGCCCAAGTTTTTTGGGGGCACCTGACCGGGCCGAAGTCGCTGTCCATTGGCAAATGCAGTTGGATTGCGATACGGCGCTGGAAGATCCCATCGGACAGCCCAGCGCCCCACTTGAACCTGTAGTTTTGATGGGTTGCATGGGCGGCCCTCAACCTGGAGCAGTCGGTTTCGCAGTGTTTCGGGGGGGTCGACCGCGGAGTTCTAGCGGGCTCGTCGCATTCTCCCCCCGCGCCCCCATCTCCTGCGGCGCGGCTGCGGTATCGCTCGGCGACGCACGCATTATGGATTGTTTTTGCATTCAGAAGACCGACGGTGCCCCATGCGGCGCCGACGCCCATGCTCAAGCCATCGGGTGGCTTTTCGCGCCAAACATCGCCTGCGCAGCTCCTCCGGCCCTCCACTCTGGAATGCGCGGACACATCGCCGCCCGCGCACATTTCAGCGTTGAACAATGCGGAGCCTTATTTGTGTTATTGTGCTTGTCCAAATAAACCACCGCGGGCATTCAGCGCGCATCGTCCCGCCTGGTGAGCCCACCTGTTCGCCGCGATTGGAGGCGCGCCCGGAGTGCTCCGCGTGGCTTCGAGAGATCCGCCGGCGCCCACCAGGGGCGAGTTCGCCTCGGGGGGGGGGGGGGGGGCGGGGCAGCGCGGCGGCGGCCCCGAGCGGCGCCTGGGGGGCCATTGCCGCCGCGACGCCGTATTGGCAGACTTGGGCCAGTGGGCAGGGGTCCACAGACCTGGGTCTGCTCGACGCGACACGGGCGAACGCGCTGCGCCCCGAGGGTCGCCCGGACGGCGAGTGCTCCGACGCGCCAGTCGCTGCCTTCTCTGATGTTACCGTCGCGCGCAATGCGCATGGGCATGAGATCTGCGTTGCGAGCGCAGTTGGCCAAGTCGCCGCGGCGGTGTCAAACCGGAACTCAGCGCCTCCCGCAGAACGGACACCACTTGGCCTCTTCGCGCGAAGCCAGTTTCCAGTCGGGCGAAATGGACAGATCGACGCCCGCGGGCGACGGGCGCACTTTCGCGGAGGGGCGCCCGCGGGAGGCGCGCTCGCGGACGCGCGCTTGGCGCGAGCCACAGCGACCGAGGCCGACGAGAAGATGCGTTTGTTTCGCCTGCGTTGGAAGGGGTTCAAGCTCGAAGCGTTCCTCGCGTAGGATCTGTCACCCAGCGTTAGCCAGACACCCTCCTTTGCGATGATGTTCAGCGTCTCCAGAACAGGCGGACTTCTAAATGCGAGAATCATGCTGAGAGGGGTTGAAAAGGCGGAGGTTCAGGCGAGGCATCGGGCCATGCCAGTCGGGACTAAGGAAGCGCGGGCGCCCGCGCGGCGCGCCCCATCGGCGGCGCAACCCCGCCGGCGGGGCCCCGCGCGCGAGCTCGGTTGAAGCGGGCGAAGAGACGGCGGCGCCTTCAGCGCATGCGATTCGGACGAGTCACTCACGGGCAAATCTCGAGGGCCCCGTCGCGCCGCCTTCCAGGGTGGCAGAAGCAGACTTGCGCATGGAGGTTGACGGTTTTGGGAAAATGGCCGAGGGCCGAACTGGCCGCGCCCAACTGCGTCGACCCCTGGCAATGGCGGGCGCGGACTGCGCGATCGCGCATCTGGCGGCGTCGCGGCGGCGGCTGGGGCGACGCGCCCGGGG